CGGGAACTCGATTTGAGTCTCGTCTTCTCCCACAAGTCTTTCATGCCAAGGCAGTTGTGTGTGCCAAGTTTCGTGCTAATCCGACTCCGTTTGGTGATTTTGGGACGTCAACATCTCGAATTCTATGCTTCTTAAGGAACTAGTTTGCCTAGACCGAAATCCGACTCTAACTCCCAAACTAGGAACCCGATTCAAGTCCCGCCTTCTCCCACAAGTCTCTCATGCCTAGGCGGTCATGTGTGCCAAGTTTTGTGCTAATCCGATGCCGTTTGATGATTTTGGGGCATCAACACCTCAAATTCTAAGTTTTTTGAGGAACTAGTTTGCCTAGACCGAAATTCTGCTCTAACTCCCAAACCGAGAATCTGATTCGAGTCCTGTCTTCTCCTACAAGTCTCTTGTGCCTAGGAGGTTGTGTTAGGATTTACTTTTGTGTCATTTACCTGCTATCATTGCTGAGTGTTATTTACCTTTGTGGGTTAAGTGACTTAGTTATCCAAAGGAGTGAGATTTGTATGCAGGCTTTTAATACTCACATCTTTTACACTGTCATGGTCTTGTCCAAAGCCTTAACTTTGTTTTCTCTTTGTTGAGATGTGTCTTTAGTGTGCATTGAGAGTCTCATTATTTATTTATTTATTTATTTTACACTATGAGCTTTGCTTTGAATCACTACAACAAAAAGGGCCTTTGGTGACAAACTGATTTCGTCTCCAAACATCAAAATTTCGTCACTAAAGTGATCTGTGACGAAAAAAATTTGTCACCACGTTCGTCACCTATACGTCGTCACAAAAAGTACCTGGTGACGAAAAACAGTTTCGTCACCTATTTTTCATTTTTGGTGACGAAATGTTTCATCTCCAAATGTTAAATTTTTCGTCCTCTAAAACACCAATTTCGTCACCAAAACTAAATAATATTTTATTTTAATTATTTTTTGCGACAAAATATTTCGTCACCAAATATATTTTAGTGACGAAAGTTTTCATCACCAATGATATGGATTAAGGTGACAAAAAAATTCGTCACTAAAATGAGCAAAAAAGAAAATTATTCAATGACAAAAAATATTTTGTTACCAAATATTTCAATTTAGTGACAAAATACTCCGCAAATGTGACAAAATTATTCGGCATGTTTTTTGAAAACTAATAGCGACATTTTTTATTTCGTCACTAATAAAATTTTGAAAATAGGTGTACTATTTTCTTTCGAAATTTTTTCTTTTCAGTAACAATTCCCTGCGCATTTCAATAACCTGTTCAATAAAATATCTATTACAAACCAATAGAAAAATCTGTTCATTTTCATAAACATCACAATCGAATTTTAACACTATCCACAAAAATACAATATGAACTGCATGCTGATTATAAACATGTCTCCTAACATCCACAAAAAACTACTAATATCCACAAAAATATAATATCAACCGTATGCAGATTACCAAACACATCTCCTACTATCCAACAAAAAACATGTCTACTAATATCAACAAAAATAAAATATCAAGGGCAGATTACCAAACATGCCCCGTAATACTAATAAAAATATAAAATTTACAGCACAACCAAAATACATGTAAGGTAATATGAACAAAAACACAAAATGAACTATCATCGGCCCTCCAAATTACCAAACACGTCCATATCAAATCTCGAATCTGCAAAAAAATGAAACACAAAAAAAAAAAATGTCAGACAATTATTATTTTATCCATAACATATAGAATTTAACATACATTTTTGGACTTAGTTTTCAAACCGGGAGTCCCGTGCTAGTTCCGTAAGTTTCCACAACTCACATTAGTCCGTCCTGAGGTGTTTGAGATGTTTCCCGGGCCGTCTCGTGGCTGTTGCACGATTTTGCTTATTTTCAAACTTAAGTGTGGAAAAGTGCATTTTTGGACTTAGTTTTCAAACCGGGAGTCTCATGCTAGTTTCGTAAGTTTTCACAACTCACATTGGTCCGTCCCGAGGTGTTTGAGGTGTTTCCTAGGCCGTCTCGTAGCTGTTGCACGATTTTGGGCCCTGAAGGCCTATTTTCAAGCTTAAGTGTGGAAAAGTGCATTTTTGAACTTAGTTTTCGAATCGGGAGTCTCATGCTAGTTCCGTAAGTTTTCACAACTCACATTGGTCCATCCCGAGGTGTTTGAGTTGTTCCCCAGGCCGTCTCATGGCTGTCGCACAATTTTGGCCCCCGAAGGCTTACTTTCAAGCTTAAGTGTGGAAAAATACTTTTTTGGACTTAGTTTTCAAACCGAGAGTCCCGTGCTAGTTCCGTAAGTTCCACAACTCACATTGGTCCATCTCGAGGTGTTTGAAGTGTTTCCCGGGCCATCTCGTGGCTGTTGCACGATTTTGCCCCCGAAGGCCTATTTTCAAGCTTAAGTGTAAAAAAGTGCATTTTTGGACATAGTTTTCAAACCGGGAGTCCCGTGCTAGTTCCATAAG